GAAATATCATTTTAGATGAGGGGATGAAAACGGACTCATTTCTAAAGTTTTTGCAAAAAGAAGTTGAATGAAATGAAGTTGCAGGAAGGACAAGTTAAAAAGAATCCCAAATATACAAGATGGTCTTCAGGCATGAATCTCAGAAATAATAGCAATTGTCACATAAATATAACTACTAAACCTTTTTGTTTATTTTTATATTCACTCAGCAAGAGCTCAACCATGACCTTGTTTTCAATCTTGCACTACAATTATTCGTGTACAATTCAGTCTTCCTTACTAGAGAGAAAACCTTATTATATATAAATTATATATATATATATTTTATATATAATATAAACTATATATATATATATATAAAATATATATATAGTTTATATCTATACAAACTATAGGTTATAGTAAGATCCAGGTCACTTCATGGTGCTGTTCAATCCTTGCACCTTGCAAAGCAAATTCCAGGGCCCTGCTGTTCACCTCTTTCCAATGCACACAGAGCCCTGATGACATGTAACTCTGCCACCAATTAAGGCAGCCAACTAATTTAAATATTAATGATTTAATGAGCGCTCGGTGCTCTGGTCAGTGCCTCCCACAGAACTGGTGGGCAGGGTGCCAACACCAAAGTCCAGCCTCTGTTCAGACACAACTGATTAAAAAACCTGATTAAAAAACCTTTAAAAGCAGCAGATGTTACAGGCAGTAGAAACAGGCCCACAGTTTCTTTTAGAGGTACCAATAAATTATCTAAGGGGAAAAAAGTTTGGGTTCTAAACTCCATGAATTAGAGCATTGCAGTTGCTCTTCTGCAAAAAACAAAGATGTCTCTTGTCCCACTTCAACAGAAACACAATTCTGGAGGAAGAAAGAAAAAAAGTTCTGTTTCTGAGAAGTTGTAGCCTTTGTCCATAAAATGGGGAAAAGACTGAAGCTCTAACTGTCCCCTCCCAAAATACCAATGTCTATGTAATAATAAAAAATAAATGAATAAATGAATAAATAAATAAATAAATAAAATACCTATTAAAAATAATTATTACCATTATTACTGTTAATTTAAATGATGTTTAACATATCTGGTTTTCCTATCACACTGATATAATGCCACTGGCAACCCAGCCAGTATCAGCACTGATCTGTTGAGTAGCATCACACCAAAAAGGAACAAAGCATTTCCCATCTGTCCCTGGCTAAAGGCTGGCACTGTGCAATTCCTGATTGTTGTGTGTTACAGCAGCTTTTTAAATGCTAATCAAAAACTGCTCCAGAGCCACAGTGTCCAACCCCCTCCACCACCTGACTGCTGCAGGAGAAAAAATACCATCATCCAAAAATCCAAGTGGAGTGATTTTTCTTCTTTTCCTTTCTGGCAATTTGGTACTACCTGAATTCAATGGGATTTGTACTGTTAAAGGGGTACAGTATAAAAGATAAAAAATAGTGATATTCAAAAATAATTCATTTTATCCACTCTAAGATAAAATATTCATTTCATTCAATATCTTCGAATAAGAACTACCAAATAGCAGGGTATGATGGACCTAGTAGGATGGCAATCTTAATAAAGAAAAACATGACAGTACCAATGAATTAGGCATTTTAAAACCAGAGGCATCCCCTCTATTTAGTCACTAAGTTCTTTGAATTTCTATAAATATCCAATGTAATTTAAAATAAAAGCTCTGGAAAAGGCAGTGTTACTCCCTGATTCAAAAAGGAAATGAGCCACATGTAAAAGAATGGAAAGTCTTACCAGCAACGCATGGAGAACAGTAGCCAAATATCAGATAAAAGTAGGTTTTTCCATAGCTTTACAAAATGGTGTTTTAATTTATGATTTCCTTTTTGGGACAAAACTGAAAGAGCTCAGGAACAGTGACAGAAAAGTAGATTCTCTTAGAAGTCAGGGCTGACCTGACTGTTCAGAGAAGTGCTTTGACACCTCTAAGTTAAGATCAGAAATCCTGTTGTAGTTTGTGTCAGAGCAGTTTGAAGAAAAACCCAAATCAACAAAACTCAGAATATTTTTTCCAGTATTTTATTACATAAAAAATTGATTGTCCATAGGAAATTCTTCACAAAGTGCAACCACATCCTGTGTAGCATCACTGACAAACTGTTTTTTCTGAGTAGGACAGCTGGGTTAAAAATTTAACAGTAACTCAGAAAAGTTAGTTCTAGCACTAGAACAGAGAAGCCACTATGCTGGGAGGAGAAAGGCAGCAGATGTTTCACTGTCATGAAAACAGATGATTTTCCATGTACCTCTGTATAGAACTGGAAAATAAAAAGAAAATAATAAGAGCTATAATTACCACCCTACAGGTTGAAATTTGTTTTAAAGGAGGTATCTCAATGTCCTGTATGTGGAACCAAAAAATCTGTTATTGAAAGCCTGATAAGCCTCCAAAGAAGACTTCATCTCCTGAGGTGAAGGAGATGGAACATTCCTGTTACATAAGTCCATGGAATATTTCTGGACTTATGTAACTTTTTGAGGATATTAATTTAGATATATATATATATAAATATATATATATATGTATTCATGTGTGTGATAGGGTTTGGGCTTCTTAACTCATCACCAAATATTTAATTATGTAATGCTGTCCCAGGACAAGTGCAACTCTCTCAAAGACTTTATCAGTTTTAAAAGGCAATTCAGGTTGCTGTTGAGTAATGAACTGTGATAGCAGAGAAAGACTGGATGGGGTAAAGCAGCCAGACTGCCATATTACACTTACTGGTATATTTCAGTATTTGTTTAGTGTAAAGCATGAAAAAGAGAGAAGAAAAATGGAAGAGTAAAATAAATTTATTTTGTGAAGGCAGCATTTTGTGTTTTATATCAAAAAGCAACTGTCATCACACAGATGAAAACCTAAAAAAAAAAACAAATGAAAAAAACCACCCAAACACTTTGAAATTTGATTAAGCTTTGTGGCACAAGACCCACCTGCATTTGGCATGGGAAACTGACCCAGAAACAACCAACCAAAAAAAAAAAGTCAATTGGCTGGTTCAATTTCAACAAAGCCCCTTTTAACTACAAAGGGGAAAGACCCAATCTACTGTAAATGTAGGTTTATGAATGACTGAAGTACCTGTACTCAAAAGCTGGGCTATAGCTATAGTGTAGTAATTGTTTCTCCAACAGTCTGAAACCCAACCTGATCAAAAAGGAAATAACATTAGGAGGAATACAAAACTGCACTTCCACGTATTTCTGATCAAAATCTGAACTGTCACCTCTATACCATACCTTTGAAAAGCAAAAAGTCATTAATATTTTATTTTTATAGTTTCATCTGACCTCTGTTCTTTCCTTGAGATGAGAAGCAGTATTGTTTATAAAAGGTGGTGCTAATCCAGATGATAAATTAGTTATGCACAAAAATTGGACTGCACAGCTCGACTATCCAAGTATCACTGAGACTCTTCTCAACTCTGCTGCACATCTGCATTAGTAGAATAGAAAAGGTAATAGTTAATCCTGAAGAAAAAAAAGTTAATTTTCCACTCAAACAGGTACAGACCTGTTTAATGAAGTGTAGCTGCAAAGGTTTCTTTAATCTAAATTCATACAGATATAATTAAAATTAAATAAAATGAATCAACTAGAACCTTCATCAACATCATTTAGTCCTTAGATACAGAAACCAAAGATGAGCTAGTCTGCCTCTTGAATACATAACCAAATGCAGATCTATTTAAAAGGTTTTACTACTCCTCAAAACAAGTAAGTTTAGTGACATCTTTTATTTTAGAACAAGGACTCAGTTACAGTTTCATACTTTTGATACTGAAGTATTCCACAAGATCAACCATTATGGTTCAATTAGGACTTTTTATCCAAGACACTTGGATTTTAGCACCTTAAAAAAAAAAGTAACACCATACCAGTATTGAATGAAGACAGCTGGTACTGTGCTCATCCTCTGCAAAATGATGTGGACCACACTACTCGGTGCCTTTTGTCCCTAACTGGTAGTAAGGCAGAAGGGAAACAATTCTAAGCAAAGCATTTGACTGAATAGCATCTGAGTAATAATAAAACCTCCCCAATTATACAAAGTATTGCCTCATACTTCATAGTATTTGAATCAAATGGTCATTTACAATCAATCAAGTCAGTCAGGAATCTGTACCAAGAAAAAAACCCACCAAAATCTAACCAGATCAGCATCAGTAAGTAATATGTCTGACTCAAAGTTTAACTCTGTGCTAGAGCTTTTTCAAATATTTAAACAAACCATTAAATCAGTAAACCAAATTAACTTCAGAGCTAGAATGTTTTTCTTCCAGCTCACTGCCTGAGTAATGGGGCACAGGAACAGGTGCTTGCACAGGCACAGCCCTTCAGCAGCAGGAGCAGCCTGAGTGCCCTGGATTCCTCTTCACTTTTCACCCTGACACTGCTCGTGCAGGTGCTACAGTTCCATTCACCTCTGCAGGGCACAGAGTGTCCCTCCTGAACAGATCTGGAGTGCATGAGCAGAGTTCCTACCTAGCATCCATCACACTGCTAAGCACAGATTTCCTGGGACACATGGGTTGAGTTTATTTTAAAGAAACAGGCATTCTAACCAAACATGTCCTAAACCCTGTAATTTCAGGCATCTTTGGCCACTTTTCTTTGCTACTTTGGGCAGTTTTGTGCCAACTATGACCATCAAACCATCATCCAAAAGAATCTTTTCACACTGCACTTGGCTCTCAGCAGCTGTGAATCCATGATTTGCACACCCAAGATGGGCACAGCTACTACAGATGAACATCAGTGTATTCAGAGACCATAATTCTTCTTTGCCACTTAAATTAAGTTTGTGATGTTAGACACACAGATTTGTATGCTAGTTTTAAACAACAACAAAAGCATAAAAAAATTACAAACTAAAGCAGTCAATTGCTGCCATGAAGCATTACCTTTCCTGTAACTAAACAAATGGCCGACAGCAATGAGTAAACTGGTGAATTTCAACATAAATTTAAATTTCAGTAGTCTCTGCTTCCTTCCTCCCCAAAAGCCAGGACTCATCAGCAGATTCCCTTCGAGGAGCAGCAGAGCAGGATTCAGTCTGGGCACCGTGGCTGTCATAGCTCCTCTCTCTGGTTAGTTGCTCGGTTGTCCTCTTTGACGCCGTTGGATTTTTTCTCTGTGTCTTTTTTCTTCTTTGCTTTTTCAGGTTTTGTTTTGTTTTTCACTTTCTCACTTCCGTCTGCTCCTTTGCCAGGATAAACCTGACCTTCCAGAGTAACATCTGCACACCTTTCCTGACTGATCAGGAAGTCTTTGATCTCCCAGGCATAGCCACCATCCCGCAGCATGAAGATGGCTCGATTGGAGCCAACAATAAACCTACAGGAAAAATCCAATTTTTTTCTGTTAACTCTGTGCTTTTCAAACACTTCAGCATTTGCTCAGAGAGCCTCCATGACTAAGGCATATGTTTAAGAGCAAGAAGCTGGTCTAGTTGTTGCCTGGGGATGGGGACAAGAGAACAATCTTCTATGACATTTAAGAATAAAATGTATGAAGTCTATCAATAAGTAACCAAGAAAGTAAGAATAAGGGAACAAATTTAGAACAAATTTAGCACTATGTAAAATCCACTAATGATTAAATTTGCTTTATACACTTATTGCAACCCTTCTCAGCCTCAATAAAGAGCACAACATTCTTCTGTTTCAAAATGATGCTCTCTCAGAGAGAAAAAGAGTCTCATTTTTTAACAGGGGAACAAAAAGCCTTTTGTGGTGACAAGTCTTCAGAGTGTGATGTTTCCCATCAAGCACATAGAGGCAAACTACTGCAGCTAGAACTGATAAACAGCTGAGCCATGGTGAGATAAAAAGAATTGGGGCTATACACACACACACAGTGCACAAGCATTGAAGAGGTTTCTGCATCACACCACAAATTTTGTCACAACTGACAAAGAAACAGAAACAGTAATGAATTATGGAGATGGAGAGCAGCAAAGGATGAACAGCTGAAAAGGTTTTCAGGAAGAAAGAAAGGGTTCTGCAAAGGCAAGAACTTTATCCTTGTGCACAGCTCACCTTTGCACGTCGTAGTTTGCGTTGAAGAGGCTGCCCTGCCACAGGCTGGTGATTTCTTCTGTCTCCTTTTCTGTTGGATCTCCTGACACTGTGACAAACATCATCAAAGTCTTCCCCTTCTTTGTCAGCTTCAGGATGCTTTCAGGCTTGCCTGGATCTATTTTTGAGAAATCTATTGGTGCTGGAGGCCTCTTGTGTTCAGGGAGATCTCCCTCTTCAATGTCATCATCTTTCTGTTTCGAAAATGACAAGAAAGCTTTAAACTCAACTGTTCCACAAATATATTTTGGGTCTATTTTTTTTTTAATTTCTCTTTGTTTAGAGAATAACTGTGCTTTGATAAAATATTTTTTAGCTGAATGATGGAGATTGTGAAACCAAAAGAAATAGTGACTGTTGTTTCAAGATATTCACCAAGAGTGCTCTTTCCATTTATAACCCTCCCCTGAAAATGATGCACATTTTCATACTGACAGGTGGAATCTCATTTTATCACATACTGAGAAATATTTCAGCCTTAAGGCTATTTCAATACAATTCCATCTATGAAACTCATAAAATGGCATTTTTTCTTCAGTTTCACAAATATTTATTATGCATGCAAGATGAAATGGGAAAGTTGCAATAAAAAGCCTCATACACACATACATGAAAAAACATTCATCTGATGCTGCTTTCAGAAGTCAAAACTCAGTTCTGGGAATCATGTGATTGCTTGAGAATTTAAGTTCCCTTACTTTCTGTCTTTAAACAATTAAACCCACAAGAATTCAGATCTTCTCTGTGCTTATGCCACAGAAAGACTTTGATTAAAGGTTTCATGACTTTTCTAATGCACAGATGCAGCTCCCAGCCTGACAACATAATCACCCAGAGTAAATCACTCCCACAAAAAAGAAAAAAATCAACCTTGTATGCCTCTGCTGAGGCTGACAGCCATTTAAATATTTGGAAAGGCACACTCAAACTGCTGCCCCTTAAAACAGCTCACAACTCTGAGCTGAATATGGTGACAACTCACATGAAGCCAGAACCTGATTTCTGTAACAGCAAACTTTAAAGTTTATGCACTAGAGAACAGAAGCTGTAGGAGGCTTAAATTTTATCCTTTCTTTCCTTACTAATTATGTCTTGATTTCAATTTTGCAAGACTGAAACATGCTTCAAGTAGTTCACATGCCTTGAAATTTCTGAAATGAGTGAACTGGGAGGAAAGGAGAGCCCAAGAAAGTCTCTGCCCTCATTAAGTGGGAACATTATCTTACAGGAGGCCAGAGAATGGTCAGATTGGTAAAGTACAGTGAAAATACAAAATCTCATGTGATTGACTGAAAAAAATTCTCCACAATTAAAAGAAGCTTAAGTCTGGTTTTACTAGAACAAGCCAGCTTTGCTCTATTCCACAGTTCTGAAAGAAAAAGGCAGAAACATTTCCAAATACTCTGTGTGAAATACAGAAACTGACTTTGGATTTAGTGACAACATGAGCTACTAACATGTATTACCTATTTTTTTCCTAACTATTCAACTAAATGCTCCTGAAGTTGTATTCTTTTGCTTTGAATGGAAATATTATCAGAAGATGCCAAGAGCTCCCCTAGATGGCATTTATTTTCTTATTTCCTGTACAAAATGTCATGCAGCTGTGCTTAAAGCTATCTAAAAGGAAAAAAGTGAAGGAAAAGTGTAAGCTTTTGCTTTGAAAAGTCTAGCAGACTGTCCTGGTTTAGGGAAACTTGGGAGGAAACTTCCAAAGGGGTCCCTCTAGAAAGCAGATTCAAGCAGCCCCTCTCTCTACTGGTTCAGGAAAAGATTTCCTTGGAGAAAAGTGGAACTAAACTCCTTTATTTAAGAATCAAAGTACTCACAAGCATAAAAATTAATAATATTAAACAATAAAACCTCTCCATGTTCTAAGAGATGGCAAGATCAGAAAGTCCTTTCTGTGGGGTGTGGCTGAGCTCAGTCTCCTCTCAGTCCCTCCTGCACTGGAATGCAGTGTCCCAGGCCCTGGTGGTCACAGGCCTGAGCTCCAGTGTTTTCAGTCCACAGCAATGCCAATCAGTTTGAAGAAAAAGAAAAACCAAAAAAAAACTTCTCTGCCCCAGCTAGCTAAAAACTAACTGAGAGCAAAGGAGAGCTGTCTCCTGTCTGTGAGAAGGAAGGCTGAAGCTCTTATCTCTGTGTTTTTGAATACAGACAACCCACTGCTTCTCCTTCTCCTCCTCCCTTCACTCTCAGACCTTGCTTTAAGGGTGCAAAACTTATTTCTGGGCTAAACAGATGAATGGGGATACAACTCAGCACCATAAAGTCACCCCAGGACACACTCACTTACTTAAACAGTAACATGAAGTTCCAGAAGAAAAGCATTACATAGACACAGGAAAAACTGCATATTCCTTCACTTGCTCCTCTCCTCAGCCCCCATTTTCAGAAATTTCTCATAAATGCCCTGTGTTTTGATTTTTGAAAACATTAGTAACATATCTCACTTAATTGCTTTGCCTGTTCAATGATCAGAGTCAAGCCTGGGAAACCCTGAGCTTGTAACAGTCATGAACTATTTAAAGCACTTGATACTTCAATAACTGAGTCCTCCAGCCCAGATTCTCAGTTCTGTGTCCAGCTCCCCAGGACTCCAGGCTTCAGGAGAGTCCCTTTGCGCGAGGAAAATCCCTCACTGGCTTCATTCAAACTCTAGCTGTGCAACTGAGCTGCTGAAGCTCCTCTGCCTCTTTGTCCCTCCCTGTTTTCCACAGATCCCTCTCCTGGATCAGCAGGCAGTCATGCACAGGGTGCAAGGGGCAGCACCAGACCCTGTGCAGAGGTGGCTGCTCCTGCTGGGAAAGCTGCAGGAGCCACACACTCAGGCTTGTGGCTGAACCCAAGCAGGTCATAACCACCATCCTCCAATGGTTTTGGACTAATTTGGAGTAATTTCTTTCAGTTGAAAGCAATGACATTTGATTCTGTACAGATCATCCCTGTGTCCCTCATTCCCAAGTGCAGTTTCTGCTCTTACCCGAATTCACAGTGGCCCCTTTGTTTCTCTTCCCACCCCATCAGTGCACTCGTGCCCTTTCTCCTTCCTGCTCCACCACCCCCTCGAGCCTTCCACGTTCCCTGTGTGTCCTGACTGCCCAGGAGATCAAACAACCCCCAAGTGTTGAGCTCAGTCCCTGCTCTGCTCCGTGTGCCTCTCCCCAGGGACACCCCAGCCCCAGCAGTGACTCCCCAGCTGCTCTGCCCCATCTGCATTTGTGCAGCACAGCCTGACCTGGATCAGGGACCTGCTCCAGCTGAAAAGGGAAAACCCTCCAGAGCCTCCTGACCTGCCCACTAGGGCTGGAGCAGAATACACAGTCAAGAGTTACAACAGCATTAACGTGAGTCTCCCTTTCAGCCATCTCATTAATAAGAGATGCTCACCTTTTAAGGTTTTTTTTTTCTACAAGGCCAAATTTGGTTCAAGTTGGGCAATATGAAGCATTGATTTTTTTGGAAGCTGGGCCTGCTGGGTTCTTGGCTGATATTACTAACAGAAAAGTGAACTTTGAGCCTTTTATTAATTTTATTTATTTCAAATTTTAACTCAATTTTCTAAGCACTGCCTTTCCTAAAGGGATATATGGAGTAACAATCCATGGAATAAGCAAGTCCATAACCTGCCAACCAGGATCAAAGCAGGCATCCATACTTCCTCTTACCTTATCTATAATTCACATACAAGACACACTTCACCTTGACTTACAGCTGCAACTGGTGTTACATAAAACACAAGTTTTCTCTCTATTATTTCTTCCAGGGCTTTTTGCAAAATATTCCAGAGAAAAACCTCACGGGAAAGAATAAATGACAGTGAGGAGTGCTCTGGCATTTATCAGAAGATGATGGAATAAAACATAGTGAAAAGAACCTAACAGTGGCATGACAACCACATGGAGAAAAGAGTGATGGGAAACCGCCAAGGAAAGTTAAGGCAGCGGGCTGATAAGGATGCAGGCGACGAGAGAGAGCTGGAATTAGAAGTTGTTACTATGAGGAAAGATAGGAAAGAAACACCAAACCAAAACAACGTATCTACCCTGTAAACGTGAAATTAATGTTCCTTCTCGGTCACACAATGTGTACCGCTCAATACTTCGAAAAAAGCAGATTTTCCAGGCAGACGAGGCTGCTGGCAGACACCGAGCACCGTGCTGGGTGCTGGGGCTCTGGGAAGGCGGGACAGGGCCGGCCGGGCAGGGCAGGCTGAGGGCCGCTCGCCCGACTCTGAAACCCTCGCACACGGACCCGGAGCCTCGGAGGGAGGAACACAGCACCGGCCACCCTCCACCAGGCTCGGGGCTCCCTCCCGCCCGGTCCCGACCAGGCCCGGGGATTCCCCCCTGCCCGGGACCGGGCAGAGCGGCCGCTGCCCCGCGGAGCTGCCCCGGCCCGGCCCCGCCGCCCCCCGGCACCGCGGCGCTCCCTCCGCGTGCTGCGGGCGGACACCGCCGGCCCCGGCGCCTCCCGCACCTCCCACTGCTCCAGCAGCCGGGCCATGTCCGCGTCGTTGTAGTCCCGAATGTCCTTCTTCTTGGGCGGCCGCTTCCCCTCGGAGCCGCCGGTCGCGGCCACCGCGCTCAGACACAGAGCCAGGGCCAGCAGCGCCCAGCCCGCGGCCGCCGCCATCTTCTGCCGCTGCCGGGAAGGCGGCCCCGCCTCCCTCATGGGCGGGGGCAGCGTGGCCGGGCCAGAGGCGGAGCTGGAGATGGAGCGGGATGGGATGGATGGGGTCGGGAGGAGGAGCTGGAAGGGCAGCGGGGCTGATCGACCCGGGAGGAGGAGCTGGAAGGCAGCGAGGAGGATCGGGCCGGGGGGAGGAGCTGGACAGGCGGATCGGGCTGGGCTGGGCGCGGCCCGGGCCGGGTCCCCGGAGCGGCCGGCGTTGACGGGCACTGCCGGGGCAGACGGCACTGCCGGGGCTGACGGCACTCCGGCCACCCCCGCCGCCTCCCCGGGTGCCGCTATCCCCGCACCAAGCCCCGCTCCAGGCGGAGCAGCCCCCGGTGCGGTCCTGCAGGGCCCGGGCAGCGAGTGAACGTTGGGCACTTAGAGGTTTAAACGAGCAAATAAATGATAGGCCTGGCTTCTAAACTGTGTGGTTGCTTCTTTAAAAAAAAAAAAAAAAAAAAAAAAAAACAAACAGAAAAACAGGATGAAAAGTATCTGGGTTTGCTGATCTGGGTCCATTGCATGAGTCTTCTGATTTTGACTACTGTCTCAGCAACATTAAAAGTTTCTAAAAGAAAACTATTAAAATGAATGCTGTTTGCTACTAAAATACAACTCCAGAACATCTGACCACCACAACAACGTATAAGATATGGGTTTTTCTTTGTACAGGCTGTTTTTCCATTATCTAAACCAAATTACATGCATGGATGTCTGCACAGCCTTATTTCACTCCAATCTTCATTTTTTCCTCATGGCAGCATTTTAATTACAAATAGCACAATCTTCTCTTCTACCTTTCACCTTGGATTCCAGTAAGTTTAAACTTGGGAATTCAGGGAAGCACCACAGTTATTGCTGCTCGTAGATATTAAATGCAGTCAGGCTGATTAGTGAAGAGGCTGCTTTTCCATTTCAGCATTGAAGGTAGACCCAGGTTCAGAGCAGAGGAACTAATTCTGTTGAGAACTCTTCAGCCTCAATTCTGTTACTGTATCATGGAATGCTGTAATTATGGAATGGTTTGGTTTGGAAGGGACTTTAAGGATCATTAGTTTCAAACACAGATGATCCAGTTCTGGTCGTGTAATGAACCAGGAGCCCACTGCCTTTATGGGCAAGGTGTGCACATAGAAAACAAAAGCAGTGAGGAGACAGAGGTGTGGGTTTGGGGGGCTCTCCAAAGCCTGGCTGACTCTTGAAGTGAGCAGGGAGAACACCAGGGAGACACAGCACCTGAAGGAGCAGCTTGCCAAGCACATGAACCAGGAGAAACAGCAGAGGAGGATGTGTGATCCAAGATTTCAGCACCCCCAGAACCAACCAGCCTGGGCTGCAGCCTCCATGTGTTTTATAACATTTCAGATGCGCTGCCAGTGCCTGAGGAACAGGAAGCAGCCCGGAGCTATTCGTGGAGCTTGTTAAATGTACATAACTGAAACAGGGTTTAGACAAGTACTTCTCACAGAGCTGTCCAATACCAGAGCCACTAATGAGCACATTTGCTCGGTGATCTCTCATTAAATATAATGAACATCAGGTATACTATATCAGATTGCTGTGATTAATGAGGTTTTACTAAAATAGGTTTCTGCTAACTTTTGTTATTACTGGAGCGTGCATACATTCACTGGAAAAAAAAAAGATTCTATCTTGGAATGCTGGACTTGAAGTGTAAAATGTTTTCCTTGAATTTCTACTAGGAAATATTTTCTTCAATTCTGTTTTTTCTTGTTAGAACAAACTAACCCAACTTACTTTCTTTAATATCTGATACTACATTCAGATATGGATCTCAAAAGTAACCTGATTCCCTTTGGTAGGTGAACAAGTTGTTCAGGATACCCAGCACTGCACCAACAAAACGATACATTTCATTGTCGTGCCAATAAAAGCTTTAATTTGAAAAGGAGATAGTTTTCATGCTTGGCTCTGACTTTGCAACTACCTCTGTTCAGGCAAAATTCTGTGTCTGGGAAGACTCGTTCAAGTCTGCTGCTCGTGGGGTCAGCTGCAGGACAAACACCTGCTCAGCCCCTGCCCTCTGCTGTTCCTCTTTCCATGCAAGAAACAAACACAATGCAGCACACACCACCGACAGCAGCAAATTAAATTGCATTCTCTTTTATTGAAGCACAGTGTATTTTGATCAGAGCATCCACTGAATCATGCCAATATGCTTTTTATAGCTTAAGCATCTTCACATTTCCTAACAGTTTTTATAGTCCTAGCAGCTAACACTATTAGGATTGCAATAGAGAATATCAGAGAATACATGGCTACTTTCATTGTAGATTGTGAGGGTAAGGTGGTAAATACTTTACCTTGTAGCTGAAAGTCCCGTCTGGTCATGCCAGGGAAGGTCTCAAGCAGTGACTGTCATTTTTGCTTCTGCAACACTCAAGTTTAATTAGTATTATACTTAATTATAAAGTTATATCTTACCAGAAAGGCAAATCTACCTTCCCTTGTAAACTGCTTTCATTATTGAGCAGGGCTGGGTCAAGCTGTAATATGAGAGAATTCAGGATGTTCTAAATTTCTGTTAATGAAGTTTTAAATGATCTCTTTTTTCCCATTTTTGGAACTATATTTGCGCAAAATGTATTTTCCATACCATTCTTTCTCATGAGTTGGGAGAAAAATGTGAATTTTTAACTGCCAAAAGCCCTCTCAAGTCTTAGCTGCTGGTGGAGTTTTATTTGCAATTTTCTATTTTAAAGTGGATTCCTATTTGTCACATTTTACTTTTCTTTGCAAATACAGTGCAGTAGAATCTTAAAGCTTGTTCCTTGACAATCCTTGGAATTAAACCTTAGAAAGAACAGAGAACTTGACTTCATTAAGGAAAAGGCAGCGCCTGCCTTCCTGGAAGGACATACAGACAATTAAGACAGAAGATCAGCACTAAGCATGCAGAAGGGAGAATGAACATGCAAGGGCTGCCTGCTATCAGCATTTGCTGTGTCTGGCAGAATCAATTAATTTCAAGAACTCTACTGGCACAGAGGGATGTTTAATAGAAGCCCACATGAATTAAGTGTTGTGCAAGGCAGCCTTGCAGCGGCAATTTTGGATGCAAGTGTTGAGATGTCCCAGCATTCAGCATATTCTTCCCTGTTTAAAAGCACTATCATACATTTTACAGAATGTCAGGTTGTTATGAGTTATTTGCAGTAAAACATTCAAAATTATTGTTTTCATAGGTCAAATTATCTCAAGTACCTTAAATGTTCCCCTGCAGAGAGAATCTAATGCCCGAGCTCTCATGCACAGACAGTGCATTTGTAATCCAACCCTCTGAATTTACTCACAGGCAGAATTAAACTTGAAGAATCAGACCTGAACATGCTATCTTTAAAAGCAAGAAAATGTCTTGGATAAAAAGTAGCACAGCAAGCAGAATATGCTGTCATCTAGAGCGTGAACATTTGAATAATTCAGAATAATTTCAGTCCTCAATTTAATTTCATGCGTAAGACAAGCACACTTACTTGCCATCTATTAAAAGAACACAAATTTTTGTTCCACAGCTTGTCAGATCTTGAATTCTTGAATCCAATTAAAAAAAACTAAGTCTTTAATTCAAAATTTGCCCAGATTAAGGATTAACCATGGTGATTCCGACATGAAATTCTAATTTGGGTACTAACCTTGAAATTCAGATTATGACTTGAGCTTTGAACATAAAATAAATCTTTACCCTGAATTTGTGTTATCCTGTGCACATGCATTTTTTAAATTAAAATTCATTGATGGGAAGGAGATGTCTGATAAATGACATCACAGCTTTGTGTCATTACCTGCCTGCTCAGGGCTGGGGAAGGGGTATGATGCTTGTCTACTCAACTGCATTAAAACTATACAGTGTGATCCTTAAATTCAGAAACACCACAGCATGTTCCTCTTAGTACTCATCTTAATGCAGGATTTGCTACAAATCTGTGCTGGTTAAAACTATGTACTGGTTACACAATTTAAAGTTACCCTATTAGGGAAAGAATTACATTAAATCAATGTCAAAGATTTACACAGCTCCCACAGGAATTCCATTTATAGTCTAATTTTCAGAATCTAAATGAAATTAATTTTGTAGTCCCAATTTCATTTTAGGTTTACAGGTCAGTTTTGGCACCTACATCTAATGTAAGTAATACATTACATGAACTTCAGATGAATTAGAGGTGCTAAGCTTAAATTGTTAATGACCAGCAGCCCTGCTCAGAGAACACAGAGAGAGGCACAATGAGAGCAGTGTAGGACCAGAGGCTCCTGTGAAAACATCTATTAAACTTCTCTCACAATACATTAAAAGAGGGCAGAGAGGGGAGAAACCCAAACCCTTCTGTAGAGTGTTTCAGCTGCAGGACAGAACATACAACCAGAAGTGCAGTTCAGGAAGGGTGGGCCCTTGCACATTTTGTTCAAAATACCATGTTCTCCTTTGATCTCAAAAAAACCCAGACGTAGGAGTCTAAGGGAGGGTCTTGGAGTGCTGTTTGTGCTGGACCACTGGAACCAACAGCATTTGGCATTCTTGCATTGAGTGCTCCAGGGTTTCAAGGCTGCAAATGTGCCTCTGGCCCTTCTCACCTGCTCCAGGAGGGAGAAGGGACACAAGCAGCTGCATGGCACCTCCTGGGCACCAGCCCTGAGACACACGAGGTGCAGGATGGATGTCTGTGTGTGCAGATGGCAGGCAAGAACAAGGAGCAAAAAGCCATTATTTGCTGTATTCACATAAAATATGGCACAGCTGTCCATTCAGTGCAAGAGGAGTTTTGTAGCTGCATTTTCCTTTTCATAAATATGTGTCTCTTCTTCACGTTGATGTATTAAATATCCATGGTAACAGCAGGGGACAACCAATTGATTATATACAGCAAGTGGTGAAAACAGTGCAATAAATAATGAATAAAAGGACAACAAAAGAAAAACCTCTTTTGCTGTATTACCTTTCAGCCGAGAAACAGGAACTGACCAGCATCCCACTACTG